GCTTGGCACTGGCGGGCTGTAGTTTAAGGGTGCACAGCATGAAAGAAGGAAAACTGAGCAGTTATTTTCCGAAAATTGCTGTGCAACAAAACTCGAGTGCTCGGGTTTTTCAGTGATAGGCCCTGCTGACCCCACAGACGCTTACACAACATTGGATGTTAATAAAACCGGGTACCGGAGGCCCTAAGTGTCACTGGATTGCAGCAAACTGTTACCTCTCGTATGACTCACCTGCATGTACCATATACCACTTTTAAGCACGCTTTTTCATTTGTTTTTCAATATTATTGAATATTAGCAGTGTGTTGATACCAGATAAGATCTATGTCCTCTCTCAAAGGATTAATAATACACTAGGTACTCTACCTGTCTTCTTGCAGTTATATTCAAGTAACATAACAGAATTTAAAACAAACTTACTCATTCACTATTATGCAGCCGCATTAGAGAAGCTTGGTAGAGACTAGGTCACGTAGAACAGCTTCTAGGTGTTCTTTTTGATACCTGTTTCCCACCACACACTGGTTATTTCTTGTGCTTAACTTTGTTTCTTGCATTTCCAGACAAAACTTCCCTGTTCTGGTCAATATTAGGAGACGCTGCCTCTCAGGCGTGAACGGACGATGGCACCAAATGGTGGGCTTGGGGCTGGGAGCGGCCTTGTGTGCTGTCCCAGTCATGGAGGTAACGTATCGGGAATGAGATACCTACAGCATCTGCCTGTTAGAAACAGTTTAATATTCAAAACCACTTGCTTGGCATTTTACAAACTGGTACTTACCCTCAGAACTGTATTCCTTCTTGGGGATCACAGGTGTTTAAAGCCATGTAGTTGTTAAGGAAGAGATATGAGAAAGGCAACATCTGCCTTCAATAACACCTTGCAAAAATGGTTGCCTTGTTTTACAATGGCAAAACAGCAGTGAGAATTAGGCTGTCCAACCTTGTAACTAACCGTGGAGCTTTTCCTTACCGTTATTTGTTATTAGTAACATCCATACGAAAGTCACTGTAAAGATCATGCCGATGTCTTGTCTTTCAGAAACAGAACTCACTTTCTCTCAGTAACGATGCCTTGATTGGTTTCCTTGGTAACAGACAGTACTTCTACACTCCTCTCTCAAACAACATACGCATTGATTGAAGCATTGACAGAGTATACAAAGGTAAGCTGAGAGATTACACACTTTGCTAGCAAGTCAATACTGGAAATACTAAATTGTTTGGCACTAACTACACCTGTTAAACCATACTTAAAATGGACTTTGTTTTTTTTTTTGTTGATGTTAATAAAAGAGGTGTAGGGGTTTGAAGATGTCAGGTCCCTAGAAAACAGTGGGGTAGGGCTCACTGTTCTACTACACCAAACGCAGAAGGTGTTTTTAGCTTTGTTAAGTCCGTTGCTTTGAGCTTGAACTTAAGCCAGAATGACTCATATCTCAGAACCAGGGCTAAAGACACTCATAACAGTTATTGGATACGTGCGTACTGGGTAAGCAGGATATGCCACCCTGTAGTCTTAGGTATTTTATTTACCTTCTGTGCCGGTTTCTAAGGCCATGAACTTGTGTTTCATCAGAAGAATGGTGTGAGCCATATTTAAGTCTAAAACAACAAGATACAGTTTTAAGTTTATAAATAAGTGCCAATTTGAGTAAAGTATTTGCATTCCAGTTTACTTCCTTGTTAGTATCGCAAGTATATAAAGAGATGCTATCCACAGCACTACTGTAGGCAGACAGCAAATGCTGTCAGTGCCTCCAAAATTGCGGTGAACTTGAGAACAAAGCACCTTTGGAACTAGAGAACAATTCTGCTAATTAACACCAGTTAGCACTGAGACAACATCAGAGATGTACAGATTGTTACCTAATTGTGTGAAATTACTCCTTTGCAGGCAGTTTATACACTAGTGTCTCTCTACAAGCAATATGCGAATCTTCTTGGGAAAATGAATTCAGAAGAGGTGGATGCAGTCTGGCAAGTGGTAATAGGAGCCAGAGTTGATGTAAGCAATTGTCTCCCTTCAGTCAGCAAACTGCCTCTTAAAACTCCGCTCAGAAAGTTCTCATCTCGCTTGCTCATCTTTTCACAAAGGCATGGTTTGGAAGAGCATTCAGGTACCATTATGTCTAGTTAAGTAATACTTTGTTTTACTCCTAGATGACAACAAAACCGCAGGAATATCTAAGGCTGGAATCCAGCTGGATGACAGCATTACGTCTTTCAGAGATGGCAGCAGAAGCTGCGTATCAATCAGGTAAGCACAAGCAGAAATACTGAGAATTTCTTTCCCCTAGCATTTAGGCAGTATTTATTGAATGAGAATGGAGTGGGGAGAGAGACAGAATATACATTCAGCTAACATACCAATTTACAACTAGTGCCTGGTTTTTAGAGATGCTGAGAACTTATATTCTTTTATTGGCTACAGGTCTAGTAGAAGCGTTCTGAGAACTAGGCCTGGAAACTTCACATGCAGTGTTTAGTCATTTTTAAATGTGGTGTTCAAACACAGTTCTGGGAGCCACAGAAATAAGGCTACCTAGGGGGTCTAGCAGGTCTTTCTAGCTGGATTCACTTTTACTAAAGAATGAGAATATTTGCCTTTCACTCAGGAAAGACACTAATTTTGGTCTTTTCTCCCTGTATACACACTTCCACAAAAAGTGTAGAGACTTGATAGCTCTGAGATTGGGTTATGGGCTGACTTATGGTGAATCGGCAAAGTTACTGGAGTGGAGAAGGGGAGGAAAGTGATGAATATACAGGGACGCCCTAACTCTCTAAGTGCCTGAATAAGATACAGAATCTGTAGGAGCACAGAAGAAGTATAGGAGAAGAAGGGATTCTGAGTTCAGCAGTGCCACAGATATTCCCGGTGCTGCTAGGTGCCAGGACAGGACAAGCACTGAAAATTCCTGGTACACAATGACTGGGCTGGGCTTAGTTCTCAAACCCATTAGCACAAGCTGATCGCTCTGATCAAGACGCTGGCTGTAACCCGCTTCAGTAGGAAGAATTCAAGGGGGCAAAAAAACCTCAAAGTAGGCATATTGTTGTTTCAGGTAAATGAACAGTAAATGCAGTTAGCATTAATATAGCCCCAGAGCCATCGAAACACTTAGCAAAGCAACTGATAATTATAGACAGTCACTTAATTGAAAGTTTGCTGAGTGGTCCTCTAATGCAATGTATTTAAATTACTTCTTTTCAGGTGCAGACCAAGCCTCAGTGACAGCCCGCAGCCACATTCAGCTAGTGAAATCACAGGTGCAAGAAGTGCGACAGCTGTCCCAGAAAGCAGAGACCAAATTAGCTGAAGCTCAAACAGAAGAGCTCATAAAAGCTCAAGGAGAGGAATCTTCATTGCCACAGGGTATTTTAGGAAGTACAGAGGCAGGTGAGGACCCTTACCTTCGGGAGGACTGAAAAGAACTTAAGTGTCGTCATAGAATATGTGAGAGTCAATTGCAAATTGAAGGGTCCCCATACTTTTAAGCATGGGATAGTGTGAAACTGCTGAAATAAGCCTATGATTCCATTTATTCCCCAAACAGGATTGCTTTACAAATCAAGTCAATTCCAGGTACCTGAAAGGCCTTGATCTTGTTTGTAATTTACCATGTTTGTAATACTTATGGATTCAATTATTTAAATGTTTAATTATGCAAATGTGAAAATTGCTATCAAAGATAGCTTAATTGTCTCTCTGCTGCGAGGGTCTTACTGCTCATTTGATACATTTGTGAGAGCTCTCTTAACTTAGAGGCTAACTAGGTATCAACCAAAGAAGTGTATTTAAAAGTCATTATTTTTAACCTGTGAAGTAAGTGATGTCTGTTAGGAGATACCTTTATTAAACTGTGCAAAAGCATCTCGTCGTAAGTGTGCCCATTTGGTAAGAGATCAAGCACTGTTTTCTGTTAGTTGTAACTTCAAAGTTGTAACAGAGCTGAGTCTGACAGCTTCACCAAATTACACTTAACTACAATCAGGGGAAACATTTGCTGTAGAGCTGAAAACTTTCTGTGGAGTTACCCCGGCTGTTAGTGAAGTTCCACGCTTCAGTATAGCAGCGTCTTTCACCCAAGAGTCACCGCTTGTAACACATGTGCCTTCCCCAGGAAGCAAAGGGAGACACGACTTTCAAGATATTGTGGTTATAAACAAAGCTTTCTGGCAGCTGCTGCATACTTTACAAAGCAGTAAGCAAAAGTGAGTTTTACATATTTGAATGCTTTCCAGCACAAGTTCAGGAAAATAATCTTAATTCTCTCTTTTTTGCAAGCCGAATGTTTCGCTGCAGGCTTCAAAACCACAGGTGTCTTTCACTGTGTTCATTTTCAAACTTGACAGCTTCGTGTGAAATTTGCAGTATTAACCATACAGACAATGTAAACTTCAGCTGGGATTGCTTTGTAGAGTAGCATCCACTAGAACTTTATCACTGTTGATTTGAGTCAGTTAGTTAATCTGCAATCATCAGGTTTTGTAAGAAAACATAGGTTAATCATAGGTTTTTTCACCACAAATTAGCATCTGATGCACTACATCTATGTTGAGGTCACTGTTACTAAATTGAGTTGTGCTTGACTAAGAGTTTTTTCAGCTGTAGCATAAGCCTTTCTATTTGTGTCTCATTTTGCCTTCCTTTTGAACAAATGCAATCTCAGCTGCACAGCACTGTGCATTTATAGATTAAATAGTAAAGGAATTAACAAACCACCTTTCCTTGCTTCTGCTCCTCACTGGGTGCTGCTGTATCCAAGGAGGATGACACAGTCTGGAGTTCAAGCTCGCAGGAAGATGCCAGTGTCTTGCTGTGTCAGTAGTCAGGAGGTCTCAAACACAGCTTTGGGCTTGGAGCATGAGAAAAATCTCACAATCATGAGAGGATTATTTGCAGCAGTGGCACAACCACGCCCTCAAGAGCCAAATGCAACTTCAGGTCAGCCTCTAACCACAACTGCTCTAATTTGTTACACGCTGCAGTTTAAGAATGTCTGCCAAGCCACTGACCCAGATGCATGTACAGGTTGTGTTCCTGTCAGGATACCACAGTAACTCTACTCAGATGCTTGCATGGCAGAGATATGGCTTAAGACAGATGAGCACTGCTAGAGGAGCGTTCAAAGCAAGTCATTCTTCCCTTTTCAGGGCCGCTCCCAGCCCCCTGATGCCCCACTTCTTGTTTCACTGTACGCCCTGCTCTTACTCCCCAGGATGCAGGCTGTACCCACACACATGTAACCTTCAGATGTGACTGGAACCAACTAGTCAGTTCAGTCAATTCAAAATGGGAGGGAGGAGCTTGAGTGGCTCCACATCCCCTCCAAAATGGGGTGGAAAAGAGTCCCACACCTTTACTAGCAAGTGAGAGTTGCCTGTTAGGGGTTAGCCCATACACCTAAGCCCACAACAGACATGACATCACGCCCTACATGATGTTACTGAGTTTGCATTTGGAATCATCTAGTGGATCAGAAAAATGCTGCCACAGCAGTTCACAGGGTACCATGGTACCCGCTCTGTCCACTCTCTTCTCTGGAACAAGCAGCAGTGCCTGGACAACAGTGCCCAGAAACGAGGTTTTGCTGCTGATACTCAGCCTTGTTTACAAAGCCAACATATCTCAAACTACGTGTAGACAATTTCTTGAGTACAGCTAATCAATCCCTGTTAGGGCTGCAGTGAGAAGACACAGTAGCAGTTTCTAGAAGGCCACACTGAGGATGGGCACACACAGGCTCACCCCTTGGAAGAGCAATTTTTTCAGACAAACACCTACTCGCATCTGGCAAGGAAACAACTTGCATGGGAGCGGCAACTCACAGGGCAGCCAGCCTGCCCTGAGAACTCGTCACACCTCTGGTCTCGGGATGTCCTCAGTCTCTCTGTAGTACAAGCAAGGACCTCCTGGAAGCAACTCCTGGGCACCTCTGAAAGCTCCAGTGCACATCTGCCGGGTGGTGAACGCTGGGCAGCTGGCACTAGCACCAGCAGTAACAACAGCAGAACACAAATTGCTCCAATTTCTGCAATCGGACGCTTCCCCTCTACCTGGTACCTTTTTCTTCCAGGCTGCTTCCTGCTCACACATGGCACAGCAGCAAGATACCCTGAAGTTGATAAGCGCTTCACAAAAGTATCACCAAATCTTAGTGTCATATTTGATCTTCCCTCAAATTAGCAACTCCAGCACACTTACAGATTAATCACTTCTGTATAAATACATCTTGTCTGGACAGGGGCAGAAAAAGGCAGCTTCTCACAGCAAAGGAATTGGCAAGTATCCATTTCCACGTAACCTCATCCTCTTTAATGTCAATGACTCCTTAATGCAAATACCCAGCACCAGATCTCAGCCTTCTCTGGCTTTTAGTACTCTTAGCTTTCAGGACACCCAAGAATACTCCCGTGAAAACACTTTTCAAAACTGTATTTTATTTATACCCAACATTACAACACCACCACCACAACCCAAACACCTCCCACACAACATGAAAAGCTACAGCCACTAAAACTACCACTGTGATTATTCAAGACATACTGGTCTGCTCAAACCCAATCAGAAAGTTTTTGTGCAAAAGCTTCCAGTGCAAGTAAACGTGTAGTAAATTTCTGTAAAATCCAAAGCACTTAATGCAGAGCCCAGTCCCTTGGATCATCGTGCTGTGTTAAGGCAATACATTTTTGAGGCTTTTTTTTTTGCCCCCACTCCACTCCCTTTCTCCCGCTGTCCGCTAGGACCTGGGGGATTGCTGGCCTGGAACAGCAGAGTTGTGCCACAGCGGACATTGGCCTTTCTTCCACCTCTTCAAGTAATTTCAAGTGCTATGTCACTCATTAGTCATCATCCACGTTCCTACACGAGGCTGAACTTGGCCTGTGGTCAGACACCAGCCTCGGTGTTGCAGAGCCTCCACAGCAGGTGGCCCCTCGCTCATGGCAGTCCGGCAGGGAGGACCTGAGCCGAGTGCCCTGTGCCATGTCTCACCAAGCCACTGGCCCCATCCCCACCCCGTGGCAACTCAACTGCTTCGGTAACCCACTGGCAGAAAAAGACTTACTGCAAAAAAAAAAAACAACCCTGTGGCTCAAGTACAGTCTGTTAGTAGAGGGCACGTTTCTACCACAACCTGATTTTTAGTTTAAGTAATTTGTAGCTGTCACCAGTCACAATCCTGCTGTGCTCATCAGTAGGTTCTTTTCCAATCCCTTCTGTAGCTGTGTGTTACTGACACCGCACACCTAATGCTGTCATCCTTTACCAGCGTCCACATGATCCACATCTCGGTTGGGTTTAGTTTGTGCACAATCATCAGCTCTTTGTACAAGCACGGATCGAAAGGGTTGAAAGGTCTCTGGATCCCAAAAGTCTTAAAGCCAGGATGGTTCTTTGGGGTCACTGCCATCTTTGCCAGACACATTCCCACAAAGACATCATCTATTGGGAAGAGCTCCATGTCCTCTGCGGTGCTCTGGAGGTGGCGCACTGTTTCTCTAGACATGACATAGCCCCCTCCACCAGCATAGAGGGGATAGAAGGAAGCTTTGTACATGGACTCTGGAATAAAGTATTTGACCTTGGTGTTCCTGATGGGCCGGGCGTTGGCGATCACATCCCCAACAAAGAGATCCCGTTCAGGGTCCCGTTCTTGGAGGAACTCAACAATGTTGTAGGTGTTGACAAAGACATCATCATCGCCCTTCAGCACAAACCTGGCGTGCAGGCAGTCCTCCATGAACCAGCGGAGGAAATGCAGCTCCTTGAGGGTCAAGTTGAAGAAGTTGTCAATGAAATCCCACTGCAAGATGTCATCAAACTCCTGGCTCTCGTAAGCCAGCAGCTGGTGCAGGGGCTGTACCTGGATTTTGGCCTCCGAGCGCCCTAGAAGGAATACCAGCCTGATGCGCTTGCCATGGATGGTGACCTCCTTCCCCCACGTGTTCCTGATTGCCACCCGCCGGTCTATGTTGATCGGGGAAGACTTGATTGCCAGCAAGAGGAACCTGGCTT